ATAGTTGACAACGCTGATCAAGAGATTCATAGCAAAAAAAATTTCGAGCGCAAAATAGTTTGCACTGAGAATGAAAAAACTTTCGTCAAAAGATTTGATACTTGTTCTGAAGACAACAATATTTTTGGGACTCCAGTTTGCTTGATTTCAGTACCCGACAGTTCGGTTTTCAGGGATTGTTCTCACTGAAACTCATTACCTATTTGCTACCGGGTGCTATTATGCTCCCCCCTCCTCCCTATATCTCAAAACAATCAATGGCTATATATTCTATTCAAAATAAAATAAAATGCATGCCCAATTTCATTCGTTGGAGTCTCACCCATATATAAAAAGAAATTTTTAATCGGATGAAAGTTGAGAAACTTGTGGAAAATGTTACAAACTCGGAAAGTCAAGTTTCAGGATAAAACATGGGGTAAAACAGGTTGAGTCTTAAATGTTCCATGAATTCACATGAATTCATCATGTATCAGAAGTCACTGGATGGGTCCTTTCAGCGACTTAGGATTTTCAAGTATCAGCACGGCTCCCTCCCAGCCATTCCTTGAATCTCCCGCTTCAAGACTCTGAAGAATAATTCCCGTCAACTATTGAGTGAGCACTGGTTGGGGATTTATCAACTCCAAATGGATTTCAAATCGATTTGGATACTTCATATAGAAAATGCGGCTTGCTACCACTACGGATTGCGTGCGATAGCTCTGCGGTAACGCGTTAGGTTGCGACTCCGCAGGTTGCAGGTTCGAATCCCCGATCGGAAAATTTAATTTCTATTTATAGGCTATTTAGGTAGGGCTGCGATAGTAATATGCAGAAAATCATGAATTGGACCTATAAACTTGATATTTAACATTTTAGAAGCCTTCACACATATCTTGCATATATATTGCCTATAATTCAAATATATGAATTGAAAAATATACGAACCATATACTACATACATATGAATTGAAAGCTCGCACATATATATCGCATATATAATCCCATAATTGCAATATATATAATACATACATTTTTCCATATATACAATGCAGCAAAAAATGTTGTATTACACATATATGTAAGATATATCTTGAATATATATGGCATATATCCATGACACATTTTTTAAATATATTTTTCGCATATATAATTTTCCCTGCGGGATTATTATTATTGCAAATTGGAATATAGTCAATCGGGTCATCAACGGAAACTTTTACAATTGTTTATTAATAATAATAATTCTTTATTTGACACCCTTTCAGATTACAAAGAACTTCCGTTTCTCTCCTATACATTCTTCCTTACATGTAAAATATTTGTATCTATCCTACATATACATATTTACAGGGACGACCTATAACTAAACTAAAACTAAACTAAACTAACAGTGGCTATTTACGAAAGCATACTTATCAGCTAACGAGCGTGAGAGCATGAGCGATAGTGAAAGTGCGAGCAAAGCAAGAATGAGTGATCTAGCGAGAGCTACGACCCCCGCTTCCGGTCTCCGAAGTGACTATTCCTCATTTCCAGAGCCCTACTACCTTTTCCCCCCACGCCCGCTTTCTCCCTCCCTCGCCCGCTCCCACACACCCATTCACACACCATTCTCACTCTCATCCATCCATCATCCCCTCCTTTTCCCACTATACAATCCAGCATTCTCCCTCTCCTTTCTCATCCAATATCTCACACACTCGCTCCCAAAAACTCCTTTCTTCCTCTATGTTCCGACATTCCTCCAAAACGTGTCCCCATGTCTCCTCTTTTGCGTTGCATCTTCTGCACCTTTTCCTTTCCTCTCCTTCCCAACTTCTTTCCCCCCTTACACCTGCCCCTAATCTATATCTAGCCATCCTTTTCCATCTTTCCTCCCCTATCTCTTTTCCAGGTACTCCGGGATACCCTCCGCCCAAACCGCTTTATACCATCTATTCGATTCCGATCTCCATATCCTTGCCCACCTTTACTTTCTTTGCATTTCACTTTCCATTTCCTCCACCGTATCAAACCCTGCTCCATTCACCCCTTCCTCTCCCCAAGTCCCAACCAATCCCCTCTCTTTTTTAAACCTCCTTCTCTCCTCCTCCCATTTCGATACATCCTTCTTTCCCTCCCTTCATTCTATCTCCCTCAAACACAGCCTTGCAATTTCACTTCTTTCCCCCCTTCTCAACTTTTCTTCGAAATTCCATGCCCTTTTTGCCGTCCTCGTCCTCAACTTATCTCTTTTCAATTCCTCCCTTATCAAATACCACGGCGACCTCTACTCAAACCCAACATCTACCTCATTTACCTCTCTTGCATTCTTTCCATTCCTTCTCTCTCCTTCCACCCCCAAATCTCTGTCCCGTATCCCGTAACCGACCATACCAGAGAATCAAAGAGCCATAGCCTTCTCTTCGAACTATCTTTGAATCTCCTTTTTCCGATCCCCCATGCCGGCCCCATAACCTTCCCAGCTTTCTCCAACCTGCTTTTAACCTGTAATTCCTGACTTTCACTCCTCTGAAACCAATACCCCAGGTAACAAAATTCTTTCACCTCCTCCACCTCCCTCCCTGCCATCGCCCACCTCTCACGCTTCCATCTGCCTCCCCCGAATACCATGACCTTCAATTTCTCCGCATTTATGACTAGATCCTTTTTTTCCATATATTTCCCCATAAACTGCAGCTTCAGCCTCATCCCTGCCCCATCCTCCGCCGGCACTACCCTATCGTCCGCATAAGCTAGCGAGAAGTTTTTTCCCGGCCCCAGCCTTACCCCCCCTTTCCATCTCTTCCTCAGTTTCTCCTCCAAGTCTGCTAAAAGTATATTAAATAATACCAGGCTCAGTGGACACCTCTGCCTGACCCCTCTCGCCGTCCAAAATTTCCCTGAAGTCTTGTTCCGCACCCTTAACTTACTCGCCATTTCCTAATAAATTTCCTTCACTCTTTCTATCAACCCCTCTGTGATCCCCCTCTCGCTCGTCATCTCCCACAAAACCCTCCTATTCACCCAATCAAACGGGGCCCTTAAATCAATGAAGCATGCCACTAATTTTTCTCCCTTTTCCTTCACCTGCCTGTTCCCCAAATAATTTAGTACAACGATGTTATCTACCATGCCCATTCCTCTCCTGAATCCTGTTTGATTGTGCGGTACTATTCTCTTTTGCTCCACCTCAATCTCTATCCTCTTTGTCAGCACTGCTGCATACACCTTGTACAGCGTTTGCATCAGAGTGACCCCTCTATAGTCTTCTACCTTCTTAACCTCTCCTTTCTCCACAATTGGCGCGAGCAACCCACCCTGCCAATCTTCCGGCCATCCCTCTCCTATCCACACACTGTTGCATATCCTCCACGCCACCCTTTTCATTCCTTCACCTCCCTCCCTCCACATCTCATTCTCTATCTCGTCCTCTCCCGTCGCCTTCTCTCTTTTCAGTTTCGCAATTGCTACCGCCACTTCCTCATACGACAATTCCTCACCATTTCCGTCCGCACTCCCTCTGGGCCCCTCCCCCGCCACCTTCCAGTCCACTCCTCCCAGCAGTTTCATGAAGTAGTTCTTCCATTCCTCTAGTCCGATACTCTCGTTCACACTTTTCCTTGCCTTCCTGTACATGTTCACTACTTCCCATACTTTACCTTCCTCTATCGCCCTTTTCAACTCGGCCTCGAACCTTTCCCATTCCTCCTTCTTCTTCCTCTTGCATAGCTTATTGTATTCTCTTTTCTTCTCCCTATACTCATCCCTTTCTGTCTTCCCTTTACGCGCAGCCCTCAACACCTTTCTCACTCTTTTCTTCGCCTCACCGCATTCCTCATCAAACCAGCCTCCCCTTTTCTTCTCTTCCTCCTCCCCTCTTTCTCTATCTTTACTTTCAATTCCTTCACCCTTTCTTTCACTTCCTCAATCATTTCGTCCACCGTTCCCTCCGTCCATTCCACTCTCTCTAATTCTTCTCTCAGCTTTTCCTTCTGATCCTTCTCCCAAAACGATACTTTCTGCGGCTTCCTGGCGTTGTTTCCCTCTGGTCCCCTATGTTCCTGGCGCCCTCCCTCCCTCAGCGTTACTATCAGCGGGAAGTGATCTGAGTCACACTCCTCTCCTATCTCAAATCTCTTTACTCTCTCTCTTCCTCTGTTATCTGTCATCACGTTATCAATTACCGTCCTATTGACTCCTTCTTCTCTCGTATATTCCCCTTCCTCGTCTCCTACACAGTTACCGTTTAGTAGTGTCCAGCCCGACTCATCCAACGCTTTCACCAGAATTTTTCCTTCCTTATCCATCTCCCTCTTGTTCTTGGACTTTCTCGACTCTCTTTCCTCTTTTCCGTCTTCCTCTACTAGCCCACCTTTCTTTCCCGTCGCCGCATTAAAATCCCCTCCCACCATTATGACTTCTTCCCATTTCCTCTCCATCTCTTCTTTTATTTTCTCCACCTTACGTGACATGTCCTTATTCACATACACTCCTACTATTTTATACTTTGTTCTCTCTGTTGCTATCCTGCCCTCCAGCCATCCTTCCAACCCCATCTCCTCTTCCACTCCTTCCCATCCCACACCATCGCACAGATCCTTTCTTATTCCCATTAGCATTCCACCTTTGCCTCTTCCTTTCTTATGATTCCTCACCACCAACTGCACTCTCTATCAGTAGCCCTTCAGCACTCTCTTCTTCACCTTTTCCCATCCTGTTCTTTCTAACCACGTTTCCATTAGCACCAATACGTCACCCCTCCCTAGTCTCTTCCAAAAATTTGGATCCTTCTTCTCCATCCCCCTCATATTCCAGAACACTATTTTTAACCTCTCCTCTTTCCTCCCTTTTCCTCCTCTTGTCCGCTTCCCCCTCCTTCCCCCTCCTGCCTCTGAATCGACTCAACCTCCATTGCTTCTGTTGTCTCTCCACTCCTGCTTCTCCTTGTCCTATTCTGAGCGTCTGCTTCCTCCCGCCATCTTTCTTCCTTGTTACCCAACAGCTCCTCTAGGTACTCATCGAATATCCATAACTCACCGTTTATCAACATTTTTCCTTCTCCCACCCGTACCCTGCTCCCTTTCTTCCTTTCCGCCCCTTCTATGCACTCCAGTCTCAACTGCATTTTCCTTTCCCTCCAAGTCAGATCGATCTCTAGCCTCTCTGCTCTTCCCTTTAGTTTTGCCCTGCTCTGCATCACCTTCCTTTTCTGTCTCGCATCTTCCAGTTCCACCACCACTGCTCCTCTCCCCTTCTCGTCCACTCACCCGATCTTCTTCACTACTTTTACCGTCACTTCCATCACTTCCGTTAATAGGCCTTCGACCTCCTGCCTTCCATCCCCCTCCATTTGAATCTTCCTCACCACCAAATTCTTTCCTCTTCTCTTCCTTTCCTGCCACTCCTCCCTCCATTCCAATTTCCAGACTCTTCTCTTCAGCTCCTCATTTTCCACGTTCACCTGTTGCCTTCCTTCCCCCTCATTCCCATTCCGATTGAGTTTCAACTCCTTTATCAATCTTTCTACCTCATCCACCTTGTCCGCCTTTCTCTCTAATGCCTCTAATCTTTCTCTCGTTTGCTCTCCCTCCTCCCTTCCCTCTTTCCTCACCTCCATCAACATTTCTCTGAAGTCACTCATCTTTCCCCATATCCTTCTCTTCTCCTCTTCTCATATACTCTCCCACCTTTCCCACTTGCGATTTACCGCTCTGACTTCTTCCCTTACCTCTCTTCCCTGTTCCACCAGCGCTTTCAGTGCCCCCACAGTATCCTTCCTAAAATTCTCCAGTGACTCCTCGAATCTCGCCATCCTCCACCATTCTCCTTCCTCTTTCTCTTCCTATCCTCTTCGTCGACCTCCTCCCTTTCCTTCTCTGTTGGTGATCTCCTTCTCTTGTTCCCCTCACTACCCTCTTCGAATGTTTGCTTAGCATTCGTTAGCCTCCCCCTCTTGCCCTTCTTCTTCTCCCCAGTAGCCCCCCCTCCTCCTTATCCGATGCCTCCGACGTATCAGCTGCCGACTCATAAAACGTCTCGTTAAAACCTCCTCTCCCATCCGACAACGCAACCTGCACCTCTTCCTCCCCGTCCCGCTTTAAATCCCTCGCGCCCAAGGGGGACGCCGGGGGCTCTCCCACCCCATCCAGCAAACTGTCTGCCATCTCCAACGACTTCGATGCCAATGTACGGAAAAGATAGCTCATCCCCCTACCTTATCCCTCCTGCGCTACACTATCGACTGAGCCCAATCACCGCAGTTTCCCTCTTCTCCGTCTCTACCGCCTGTCGCCTCTTTCTCATTCCCACTTACACTATCCCGCCAAAAACCGTCCCTCCCCCTCCTTGCCCTTTCCTGCCGATTTTACTCAACCCCTTAACTCAACTAAAAACCCTTCTAATCCTTACCTTGCTTCGTTCACCCTCTTTCCATTAACCCACTTTCACACCGATCTTCCTAAAAAAAACACACACACCTCCCACGCAGCTCTCTCACCTGTCACTTCTCCACCTAATCTTCAAACCCCTATCTCACTTTCAACCCTCTTCCACCCTTCTACACCTCCACTCACACCACTTTTGCCCCCCTGCACGTAACACCCTCCCTTTTCCCACCCTTTTCCTCCCTTTCTCTAACAACAAACTCCCAAAAACCTTCTTCAAACCAAACAATAATCGCTAGATACTACAACCTACCACACTCCTCTCGCAGACCGGAAACGGAAGTCCTACAATTATTTATTATAAGTCGCAGGGTTGCATAAAAAACCAGACTACGGTTAACGTACTTGCTGGAAAAGACTATATTTAACAAATAGAGGTTTATAGAGCGAGCTGGAGGCGGTTTGACAAAATCTTTAGTCATTTACATTCAATTCTAGTACTATTATATCAGATCTTCTAAATAGTTCTGTTAGGGATGAATCCCTGAGTTCTGCTTCCTGGAGATAAATCTCCCTACAGTGGGTAGATACTGGAATCCGCTATTTTACTTGGTGGAAAAAGAGGTGTTTTATTTATTTAAACTAACTCATAATTCTCCAGACGGAATAATTATGTAGAACTTACAAGATGGTACAAAATAGGTATTAAGCTTGATTTACGTTGACGACTGAACTGCCGAATATTCGGGAGTCCAGACTATATAATAATTAAGCGTGTCACGACGCTGGTAAACAGTGTTACAAATGAACACTAATTTAGTAAAACAATGAGAAAATTAAGTTGAACTCAATTTATCGTTCAACTTCTTCACTTTTGTAATTAAATTATTACTTAATATATTACCATTATTTTGGGACATAACATTCTTCCCCGCTAGGGGAGAAAATTTCTATCATTGGAATTTTTCTTCTCTGACACAATTTAACAATTTTTCAGACATTCTCAAATTATAAAAATTAATCATTTCCCTCAAAGCTAAAATTCATTTTTATGAAAATTATGTTTCTCTTAAAATCTCGTAATAATGTAAAAATTTGGGACTTTGAATAAAAAAATTAGACGTTGAAATGGAATCTCTCCGAGAAAATGACATTTCTTCAAATCTAAACGAACTTCGGAAAATCTTTTGATAATATTTCCAATTGTTCGAATGAAAATTTCACTGATTCTTCCGAAAAAATTCCGTAAACCGAGTTTTTTTCCCGAATATTATTTTCACAAGCGCTTTGTGAATAGTTTTTTCGGGGATAGCTGGGATGCACACGTTGTCTACTTGACTCTCCTGTAACGCCTCATTCTGCTGATTCCTATGACGAATTCCCCTGGTGTGTTTCGTATTGAAAAACACGCGGGTTTAAAATTAAAGAATAGTTTATTGTAATTAAACGAGGCGAAGAAAAATATAACAGGAAGTATAAAAAACGGAAAGAAAAAGAACAATAAATGACAAAAAGTGACGCTTTTTTTGTATGATGTAACTTCACAGGACAGATTCGGGAGAAAGAAAAGAATAAATAACTCATAGAATGCAATTGGTAAGGGGAAGATTCGTTACACTACTTCGTCCTCTGAAAGAAAGATTGTCGCCTCGACAATCAAGTAAACCTCTTGAGAGCGACTGAAATATCAGAAATCAAAAGGTTTCGAACTTTCAGTGATTAGGGGTCCTCAACCCATATTCTGTTCGAAAACCCAGACGGATAATACAGAAGAGAATAGGACTTGACTCGAAATAAGTTTATTGTCATTATCAGGAACTTCGATGAAGTTGTGGTCATTGTTGGGGTCGCGCGACAGGTCAAGTCCGGAAGCTCTTCATCAGAAAAATTTGAAAAAGAAAATGAAAAATCTGGCAGAATCAAGTCAAACAGAAGGAGAAAAGAGCAATGAAAAAAAAAATTATTCTCTGAAACAATAAATCAAAATTGAGAAGTTATGCGCAATAACGTTCTCAAAAATAAATCTTTCTCAAGAAAACGCAAAAATAATAATTAATGAATCTACTCTGTTAATTATGACCAGTAACTGACAGAGAAATAAATCAGAGAATAATTGTCTAAAAGGGAAATGGAAGATCGTGAATTTAATCTTCATAAGAGGCAATTCGATTAATGTGAATCACCTTGAGTCGTGAATGAGGGGATTTTTGAATGCGGTAAACCACATCATTCAGTTTATTTTTGATCGTATAAGGGCCTTCCCAATCGCATTAGAGTTTTCGCGTTGACTCTACGAGGGTCATAACACCAAACTTTTTGATTAGGCTGGAAGAAGATCATATGAGATTTGATGTCAAATTTTGGTTTTGTTCGATCCCTCTTGATCTGCTGTTTATCTCGAACGTCGTGATGGATAGCATCGAGTTGATCTTTAAAAGATTCGACATTTTCAGGGAGAGAACCATTGTTACTGGGAGGACATCCTCTCATGAGATCTAAGGGAAGCTTTAGAAGAACGAAAAACGAGAAGAAAGAGTGACAGTCATTTGTCTCAGTCTTTCTGGTTGAAATTGATAAACTTGGCTAAATAATTAATAACTAATAATTAATAACCATGCCATTAGATTGAGGATGAAGTTCTTGTCTCGTGGATACCAAGGATGTTAATCATTTCCTTAAAAACAGCAGTTTCACAATTACGACCTTGGTCGGAATGAATCTCGAGAGGAATATCAAAACGAGAAATAACATCCTTGATCAAAGCTTCGGCTGCAGTGGCAGCTTGTTGAGAAGGCAGAGGAATAGCCTCTGGCCACCTAGAGAAATAATCAGCGACTACTAAGATGAAGCGATTGCCTGAAGATGACTTAGAAAAAGGCCCAAGAATGTCAATAGGTAATCTCTCAAAGGGGAAGCCAACATTATAAATTTGGAGTTCACTCTTAGTTTTAACATGAGAACCTTTCCTAGAGAAACAGATTTTACATTTTGGACGCCAGTTTTCAAAATCGAATTTACAAGAAGCCCAGTAGAAGAAAAAATTTCAGATACCAGATTTCTGGGAATGACGATTTGATAGATGAATTTATTTCTATCTGGAGATTTCCGATGTCGGACGAGAATATCGTGCTTGAATTCTAGAGAATCCCAGTGAAGAAGATAAGTTTTAAAGTCTGGAGGGAAGTAAGAAACTTTTTGCCAATCAGCACGTTGGTTGGATTTCTTGAATTGAATGATTTTTCGAAGAGTAGAATCTTCATTTTGTAGGTTGACCCAATTGCGATTGTTATTGGTCGAACACACAGTCCTAAAAACTATTTTATTGAACGAATTCTCAACAATATTGGCCTTTGTACATGATTTACAAGAACAAGGGTGACGTGACAGAGCATCAGCGCAGCCATGAGGATGACCGGGATGGTGAGAAATTTCGAAGTCATAGGAGACAAGGAACTCTAGCCATCGAGCAATCTGACCGACTTCTTGAATGAAATGAGCATTTTCAAGGCAGCATGATCGGTCCAAATTAGGAATTTTTTCCCCAAGAGATAATGAGAAAAAGCTTCAACGGCTTTGATGACAGCCAGGAGCTCTTTTCGCGTAACACAGTAATTCTTTTGAGAATTATTCAGACATTTACTGTAATAAGCAATTTTTTCTTGATTATCTTGTAATTGAGAGAGAGTAGCACCAATGGCGAATTGTGAAGCGTCAGTATCGAGAATGAATTTACCATTAGGCGAAGGTGTAGATAAAATTGGAGTAGAAGTCAATATAATTTTCAATTCATCGCAATCAAGAGTATCGTCAGACTCATTAAAGTGTGCGTTACGAGTAAGCCGTTCGATGTCCTCCGCGTAAGAAGTAGAATCTTCGTCTTTTTTGCTGATGTCGAGTATGAAGTTGATTGAAATACATTGGTGAGCATTTTTCTTTACCAAATCGAGATTCTAGATTTCCCTTTAATTTATTGAAATCCTGGAGTTCCAATGGAGAAAGAGTTTTTAATACCGCGAGAGCTTTACCACGTA